ATTAAGGTGAGTTATCTTCCAGTATAAGTGGGTCTACGGCCACAATGCCGACCCACTAGTAGGAGTTGTTGTTAGATGATTGTCTTTGTGATAATTATCTAGGTTTGCTGCTACCTGATATGTTATATGTGCTAGCATGATATGATGTTATGTGATAATGGAAGTAGGGGGAATAGTCCCCGTGTTATAGTCGTAAGGACCGAAGGGTAGGTCGGGCACCCTAGAATTGCCTGGCAGTATGTTTATGTTATGCTATTATATGGTAGTAGTAAGGGGTGAAATAGTCCCCGTAGCCGGTTGAGATAAACCGAAGGTTAGGTCGGGCACCCTAGAATTGCCTGGCAGGGTAGGTCGGGCACCCCGGAATTGCCTGGCAGTATGTTTGTTATATGGTATGAGGTATGATGGGGGAACTCACTAAGCTTTGTGCTTACGGTTTATAGTTTTTGTTTCAGGTCCATCTTCTTCGAAGGGAAAGGAGCCGGCACGGTAGCAACGCATCACACCACTATCTTCCGCACTATGATGTTCTTGGGATTGTACTCTGAAATTGTTATTTGATTATGACATGCTTTTGAGAATTATGATCTATGGATTTGATGAAATGAAATAAGTTGGTGATGTTTTCTATAAAATGCTTTAGGAATCGTTATATTAAAAATGAAATTTTTGGTCATGATTTTTGGGATGTTACAAAACTTATGGATAATTACTTAGTAACCAAGTAATTATCCCATAAGGGTAATTAAATCTTCCTTATAAATAGAAGTGCTTCGTATAAATTTCATGATGAGATTTTCACTAATCCAAACCCTAAAATTAAGTACCCTCTCACCACTCTCGAAACCCTCACACTTATCGAAGGATGTGACATGTCCTCCTTTTCACGCACTGTGTCTGCGATGAATTCTGGAAACATCTTCGACGTTCAAGGTGTTTGATGGACCTGGAGGTGTCAAGGATACCAATCTGTTTCTTGGGTACGATCTAAAAGAGGAGTTCTGGTTTGGACTCTTTCCAATCCTCTCTCCTTCAAGAACTAGCAAGTGATTAATCAAAGGCTTCAAAGGTATGTATTTTTGATTAATTTTTCTTTATTGTGTTTCTCTAGATTTGATTTGAACATGAATCCACCATTGGGTTCATGAGTTATTTCTTTATGTATTGTATGCTTCCGCTGATTTCATTAATTTGGGTATATTGCGCCAAGTTGAAAGTAAAAGTTGTGCCTTTTCTAACTTTGATATCCAATTACATCGATCAGAGGGAAAGTTTCCCTTTGTCAATGTTTTTAGGGCTTTTTACATTCGATTGAAGCCTAATTATGTATCTCTTACGTGGGTTTGTTTCTATGAGTTTCTTTTTTCTATTGAACTTGAATTTCCTTTTCCTCCCCTGATTTCAAAGTTTTTAAGGTTACCCAGCTTACTTACGCCCAAATCATGTCCATGGCTTGGCATATTTTATTTTGGGTGATTTACCTTAATGAATCTGAAAACCTGGATCTTGGTTTACCTAATATTTCTAGTGTCTACGATCTCCGTACTTTTGGTTCTTATCGTATTATCTTCAAGATATAACCTAGAAAAACCCATTTGATTCTTAAGACTTCTTGTCATGATGTTGGATGGAAGAGAAAGTATTTTTTTTCTTTAACAAACAGTTTCTTGATCAAGGGGATTTCTTATTAAGAGATTGGTTTACTAAAGGTAGGATTCTTATTTCTATTATTTTTAGCATTATTTTTCTTTAAAAAATGAGTATTATTTTTTGGTTTATCTTGAACAATCCTGAAGTTTGAGCAGTTGTATCCTCATAAGGAAGACATTGGGGAGAAGGTTAGAAGCTTTCTAGCACTTACTATGGAGAAGCGAAGTTTCAATATCATTTTGGAGTGTTCTTCATGAAGGATCTAAACACATCTTTGGTTGTAAGCGATACAAAGCCCATCAATATGTCTACTGGTATGAGAAATTAACTTTGTTCTTTACATGCTTCTTGACATATTTCTGACATATCTCTCTTCTTTAGGTTCAGACTTACCCGTTTAGGTTCAACATTTTTCTCTTTTGATGTTGAGGATTTTCTTTCCATTAGTCCCTCTGTGAAAATCGAAAATCTTCCTCCTGCAGGTTTAAGAAGGGTGAAGGGCAAGCCTACAAGTCCAGGTCCATTAACGTAAATAAGAACATGGAATTGTAATGCACAATGTTCTTCATGAAGATATTGATTTTAGACTCCACACAAAGTAAAGTTTTTGATGATTTGGCGGTGCTTCATTAAAATCTGAAATCTCAACCTTGTCGTAACCACAATACATGGAATAGGTTATTTTATTTTGGGTTTTTATTCCTCTAACAGCTTCAGTTGTCCATAAGAATTTAAGTTGGTGTTACTCTATATATTGTTTAATAAACTTTGGTTCTATTACCGATATAGAAAATACAGTATGTTGCAATTATGGATAAAAAGTGTAAGTATGGTGTTATTATATATGAGAAATGACATAAATGTCATACAATTTTTCTAGGGTTGGTCGATACAGTCCCTAAAGTTATTTTGTTGCTTTATAAGGGCATAAGGCCGAAAGCAACCTGTCTTTTCAGTCACCGCGACCTATTTTAGCAGGTTTCAGTGCCAAGATTTTCCCACCTACTTGTCAATCTCACTTCTCATCGTTCCCACTTCCTCCTTTAGCCCTGCTGCCGCCAGTATCCTGGCGGAATCCTTCCGTTCATCCTTTAACCCACTAAGATACCGACAATCGAGACTAGCGACGATGCTGGAGGCGACAATGAAAAGTTCAGCAGTCTAGTGGTTGTAAGAAAAGGTAAGAACTGAATCACTTGGAAAACTCTATCTAGGAACTGGTTGTAAGTCAAAGAATCATCTAGACCAGGTTCATTTCCTTCCCAGTGAATTGAAATTTTGTCACCGTTTCTAAATTCTATGTTTTATCCAAACAGTTGTAATAGATATTGGTGATTCCACCCTTGAACCACTGAATGGAATCACAAATAGCAATAGGAAAACAAACTTGCTACAAATATGATGGAAATGAAACTGCAGAAGTAATGGAGATCTGATTATCTCTATGATGATGTTCCCTTTTATGATGTCAAGATTCTTAGAGTAAACTTGCTGACCCCATTTCTTCTTCCAGTAGAATTCAGAAGCTATGTCTGACCAAAAGCTAGTTGGATCTTTGATTAATATCTTTTAAATCTCTAGGTACTAAAACGGTATCCATAAAAATTAATCGTGAGATTTTTTTATAAAAAAATAAATGGAAATTACCAGTTCGAAAGATGAAACATGGGTATTTTGGGAGAAATCCTGACTGGGTAAGATAAGTTCATTATCAGAGGCTAGAGGCTCGCCGAGGATTACAACTTTTAGTTTCGATAACCGGGAGGAAACAGAGGGTAGATGACGAAGGTGATGTACTGTGGTAAGACTGTTCACCAAACCCAGAAGCCGTGATCAGAAGGATTAGCAGAGTCCACTCATGCTCTTACTATTTTAAACAATGAAGAAACGAATACGTTGGAATTGGTCCTACCCAGAGAACCCACATGTTGTGGATGATGGGGCAAATATTGCAGATGTGACACTGAAACCTGCTAAAACAGGTCTTGATAACTAAAAAGATAGGTTGCTTGCAACCTTATCTCCATATAAAGCAACAAAATAACTATAAGGACTGAATCGACCAACCCTAGAAACATTGTAGGACATTTATGTCATTTCCCCTATTATATATAATCTCTAATTAAGTGTGTTTTATCATTTGTTGAGTAAAATGAATAGGTATGCTCTTTATGTCTTTATATTCTTTGTCAATTATGTTTTTTATTTAACATTTATGTAGGTAAGTGACTTGCTACCCAACTACAGGAGGAGAGGATGCAACGAGAAAGGAACATGAAGAGACTGAAGCCCTTGAACACAAAATAAATAAACTTTTGAAGAAATTAATACAAAGCGACACCCTAGTAGTTTTAGTTTTCTATAACCCATCCAACTCGTCCTGGTAGTTTTATTTTTCTATAACTTTTTATTAAAAACTTTCTAGATTTACTATTGCATGGATTGATCCTGAAAATTTTGGGTTTATTTGTTCGTTAGATTTTTTGGATTACAAAAAAGATGGATTTTGCTTAGTTTCTAAATGGTAAATAGAAAAAATATCGAAAAAAATTTGAACTTTTATAATTTCGTATCAAATTAAGTATTACAACCTTTATATATAAGGTGTGTTAGACAAAACTAACTGGAAGTTGGTAACTGGTATGTTGAAAGCTAGAAGTTGATAGCTGGTAGCTGAAAACTAGAAGTTGATAGCTGTAAGCTATAATTTTTATTTGTATATGAGTGTTCTAATAAAAATAATAGTCGGAAGCTTTTAAAACATGTAAAATTAAATAAATTAAAGGACTTATGAAATACATCATTGATTTAAAAAATGTAATTAAGTCAATTTGCAAAATTATAAAAAAGTTTTTTTGTTAAACGCTATTTAAAATAGCTTTTGACTTTAAAGCTTTTTGTTTTAGCTAAAATCTAGAAATTCCATTTGCCGAGCTTTTTCCTAAAATCTAAAAGCCAAAAACTCCTAAAATTAAGTTCCGTGCCAACACGTCAGACGAGTATTTTTGTTTGCAATTTTGTGCAAGGTCACATTGGCAGAATTATGATTCAAATGGGGCGCACTGCATGCACAAATAGATTGTGGTCCAAGAGAAAAGAATTAATAAAAAAAACGTTAGTTTGAAGTTTATTTTGGCATTTCTCATTTTTTTGGATTTCGGCTGCATGCGTATTATGGATATTTACTCCAAAATAAAATATTAAATGAAAATTCTAACATCCACAGAACTGCCGTTGCTTGCCTTGACACTTCCTGTGCTCGTATTATAAATGTAGCGCCACTCCGCTTATAATTTTCATACTACTAACTCAACCCTCCCTAAGTTCATAATTTTTTGCTTTGATCTTGCATGGACAGTCTGGTGAATAGCAATGGAATTTGTCCAGAACCAGATGAAAGAGAATGGGGCATCGAAATTGGGGAGTGTGAGTCCCATGTTGCCAAGAAAACGGGAAGTTTAGCCTACTTGACATGGGAGGAGCTTGGAGTAGCTGTGTCAAGCTCAGAGTGGAGTGCAAGGAAAAATGAACGTAAATGCTTACTTACTGGTGTCTCTGGTTATGCTAAACCAGGAGAGATTGTTGCCTTTATGGGGCCTTCTGGTTGTGGCAAGTCTACTCTCCTTGATTCATTGGCTGGTATGTAATTCTCCATATTATAATATTTGTATGTTTAACGACCTTCTAGTTCTAATTCGCTTGTTTACATATAAATGCGTTGTTTTTTAATTTTGTGTACAATGGCAGGGCGGTTGGCTTCGAACACAAGGCACACTGGACGAGTTCTAATTAATGGACGTAAACAGAGGCTTACCTATGGCGCCTTGGTATGGAAGCATACTACGAGTGAATCGATCACTTTCTTTTTTAAATGGGCGTACACATATATGCTCGTGAGAAAAATAAAACACAAATTGTTGCATCATTTTTCTTCCACATTTGAACCCATTAGTCTATTAGTTAGGACATGTAGAATGCATTGAACTTATAAGAGAGTTTAATGGATTGCTAATGCATTAAACTTACAGGAGACTTTAATGGATTGTTATATAGTACTCTACTCTCCCTACAACTCCACCAAAAAAATTTCAATAAAATATATTTTAAAATCTAACTTGTTGACATATTTAATAATTAAAAGCTTTCGTTTTCCCATCGAAGGGTAGCTATTGAACGCCAATATCATCACAATGGAATAACAATTAGGCATATATCAATCCATTCAACTCTTTCATTGAACTATGCATTGTGGATCCTCTTATGATTTATCAATTTTTGAATAGGGTCGCGTACAAATTAATAACACATCATCCGACTTATATTCTTTCTTATTTAATGTAGGCATATATGACTCAAGAACGAGTTCTAACATGGACGCTAACTGTAAAAGAAGCGGTTTATTACTCAGCTGAACTCCAACTACCCAAGTTGATGCCACGATCCGAGAAGAGGGAGAGAGCAGATAGAACCATAAAGGAGATGGGGCTTCAAGATTGTGTGAACACAAGAATAGGAGGCTGGGGTTTCAAAGGACTTAGTGGTGGCCAAAAGCGGCGTGTAAGCATTTGCTTAGAACTCTTGACGCACCCGAAACTTATGTTGCTTGATGAGCCTACAAGTGGGCTTGACAGCGCAGCGTCATACTATGTTATGAACCAGATTGCCAAGCTCACTCGACAATACCATATGACTGTTTTAGTAGCAATTCATCAACCTAGTAGTCAAGTTTTTGGACTCTTCAACAATCTTTGTCTTCTTTCGTTGGGGAAAGCAATATACTTTGGTACTACTTTTGCAGCAAATCAGGTTACCTTTATCTTATAATTAATCACGGATACATATTATAAAAATACATTTCATAAGAACATCAATGTAACTTTTTTTCTTGTTATCTTCAGTTTTTTGCAGCAAATGGTTTTCCTTGCCCAGATCTACAAAATCCTGCAGATCACTACCTCATAACCATCAACATAGATTTTGATGAGGTAGGTTATAAATTCATTGTTCAATCTTTTCCATGGACGATTGAAAATTTTCAAAAATTGTGATAAGAAATTAAGAAGTCACAGTAATTGTATATAAAGGTTGTTATCTATGTATTCTTCTACTCGTATATATATATATATATATATATATATATATATATATATATATATATATATATATATATATATATATATATATATATATATATATAAAAGTCATAGTAATTGTGTATAAAGGTTGTTATCTCTGTATTCTTCTACTCGTGTGTATAAATGAAATTTTTTTTACCATCTGTCACACTCTCATTCAATTTGCCAAATGTCATTTTGTGGTTATTTTGAATTAATTTTTTTCCACATGTCATTTTATGAGTTTTTCTATTTGATTAAATTCCATATAATAGTTTAATGTAATAATTGTAATAAATGTAGTAATAAATGAATATCAATTTCATGAATGAATTTATCTTTTAATTTCAAATTTTCCAAAATTAAAGCTCATTAGTTTCTTTTATTTATTTAAATTATTTGTTTAAATTTAAAAGATAAAAAACATTTCCATTATAATAATTCATTATTTTTCTTATTTTCTTATAAATTCAAAATTCTCAAATATTTTGACCTTTATATTTAACTTTTTTTTTAAAATTAATCCATGTAATACATGGGTCTCACAACTAATATATATATATATATATATATATATATATATATATATATATATATATATATATATATATATATATATATATATATACACCACAAAGCTCTTGATAAATCGAGGTTCATTCAGTTGTTCGTATTTTCCCACTATTAGGACATTGTTAGCGAAGAGATTCCTGCTGAGCAAGTAATCAATGCACTTGCTGAATCTTACAAGTCATCCGAGATATATACGGAAGTCCAAAGTGAAATAGCTACTATATGTGGAGAGGTGATGTTCTTTCTTAGATCAAAATTAGTTACATTACATTATAATTTAACCAGAAAATGTGATTTTGGTAGAAAGGAGACATAATTCAGAGAGAAGGAAGCCTACAAGTCAATTTCATTACACAATGCTTGGTGTTATCGCAAAGATCATTCATACACATGCACCGCGATCTTGGATACTACTGGTTACGACTTGTTATATATATTGGGTTAGGTTTTGCACTAGGAACACTCTTCTTCCAAATTGGTTCAGGATTTGGGTCCATAGATGTAAGTTTCTTTTTATTTTAATTCGTTACACCAAATAATTTGTAGGAGCTAAGTCCAAAACAAAAAATATAAAAAAATAGATAAAGAATACCAAATTATTAGCCAACAAATTATTTTTGGTGGTGTTAATTTCCAATCGTATATTTTGTAAGTACTGAGAATATTTTCTTATGGTTCCTAATGCACAGGCTAGGGTTTCAATGATCATGTTTGTTTCTTCATTCCTAGCCATTTTAGCCATTGGCGGGTTCCCCTCATTCGTGGAGGAAATGAAGGTTAGTTGATATAAGTTACATGTTCTTGGATAAACAAAATGTACTTGAATTAATTTCCTTTTTTAATAACTAACTATATGTACCATAACTACATTTATATAGGTTTTTCAATGGGAAAGATTAAATGGGCACTACGGGGTTGGATCATTTGTTATTAGCAATGCTATCTCTTCAATACCATACCTACTTGTCATCTCCTTAATCCCGGGAACAATTGCTTACTCGATCATGGGACTCCAAAGAGAACCTAAACTATTCATCTATTTTGCATTAGTCCTCTTTGTGTCGATGTTGTTGGTTGAAAGTCTTATGATGATCGTAGCTACCATTGTTCCAAATTTTCTCATGGGCATCATAACTGGTGCAGGAATCCAAGGCGTGATGATACTAGGTGCAGGATTTTTTCGATTGCCAAACGAACTACCTCATGTGTTCTGGAAGTATCCTATCTACTATATTTCATTCCACAGGTATGCATTACAAGGATTGTACAAGAATGAGTTCGAAGGATTAAAATTCCCAGAGTACTCAGGAGGTCCTCCTACAATTGATGGTGGGATGATTTTGAAGAGTGTATTGCACATTGAGATGCGATACTCTAAGTGGATTGATCTTGGAATCTTGTTTGGTATGGTTGTTGCATATAGAATAACACTCTTCTGTACTATTAAGATAATAGAGAGAGCGAGGCCTATTCTCAAGGATTCCATGGTGATTTCTTCTTTCTAAAACTAGAAATGCGTCCATGAAGCTCATCATTTGTTTGTGTAAGATTATATTGTAATAATGTGAGTAATCAATAATAGTCAAATGGTCAATCTACTCTAATAAATAATAAGATCTTATTTTAAATTATTTTTTTGTTACACATTACTTTGTTACATTCTATGTTTTTTTTTCCATTTTATTAAATTTCAGATAATATTATGTAATAATTCTAATACATGTCATAATAAATGAATATCAATTTCATTAAGACATACCTTATTTTTAATTTTAAAATTCTTAAATTAGTTTAATGACATAAATTATTACAATTCACTAATTAGTACCTATGACATGGTAAAATACAATTTTGTGTAGGATCGAATAGATTCTAAAAGAATGAAATCATGTTTGAATCAAAGTAAAGATTGAACACACAAGAGTAAATAAGATTTTGATTTCGATTCAAGAATGCAAGCTCAACTACAATGTTGAAAGTAAGAATTTGTCAAATAGCATTCTCTACTTTCTAACTAACATCCATTTATATAGGTTGGCAAACTAGAGAGTCGGTTAGAGAAACAACCAGTAACAATACGACACTTAGGCAGTGACAAGATATAAGACAATTACGCATATTCAGTAACATCCATAAAAATCATGCCAATTTAAAACTTTTTAAAACATTCAAAAACAATAGTTATTACAAATTGTTTTCAAAATAGTTCCATGGCAGAGTATCCCAGAAATCAAATCATAAAAATATGAGGAGGTGCACGATCACGCATTCGCCTTCCCGCGATCATTTGAAGTACCTGAAACAAAATCAACAATTGTAAGACAGAAACTTAGTGAGTTCCCCCATATAACAACGCCATACAAACCATAAAAATATCATACAAACAACATGCATAATGAGTCATCAGTCTGACTGGACCGCCTCGCAGGGCCATCAGCCTATCTGGACCGCTCTCCGAGCCATCGGCACGTCTGGACCGCCTCGCGGGCCTACAGCCTATCCGGATCGCTCGCCGGGCCTTCGGCCTAACTAGTACGCCTTACCTGGTCTCCAGTCTATCCGTGCCGCCCTGAGTATGTTGGCATAGAGCACAAAGCAGGACCGCCTCAACCCAACCCCCAATCCACAATCAACACATAAATATCATACGCTAGCTAGCATGTACAGATAGTCATACATATCTAACAGATTACTAATCATAACATCATCCTATATACCTGGATACCAATCTAACAGATCACTAACATAACATCATCCCATAACCTGGATACAGATATAACAGATCACTAACATAGCATCATCCTATAACCAGGATACATATCTAACAGATCATCAACATAACATCATCCTATAACCAGGATACAGATCTAACAGATCACTAACATAGCATAAGCCTCTAACCAGGATACAAACCATAAAAGGCCGGCCTTGGTGCCTTAGACCCTGTTGATATAGTGAGAAGAACTCATCTCAGAGTGTCGAATTGTACTGCAAAAGATCAAACTCCCGAAACACGGCTCCGAACACCAGCACCTACAACCACCATTTATCCGATTCCATAAATTCCCAAATTACCAAAATACCCTCAAAAGTCAAACTTGGTCAACCCTTGGTCAAAGTTAAAGTCAACGGTCAAGGTCAACAATCCATGTTGACCCAACTCATCAAGTGTAGCTTACTGACTCGTCGAGTTCCTTCAGAACTCAAGAAATCATGAAAACACCAGTCGACTCGCCGAGTTTCCAGACAACTCTTCGAGTCCATGCAGTGTCCAGAATGTCGGGAAAACCCTAACCAACTCGTTGAGTTATCTCACTAACTCACCAAGTTAATGCATAATCCAGAAAGCGGGAAACCCTCATCAAACTCGTCGAGTTGACTATGCAACTCGTCGAATTCTTCCTGTCTTAATGTGTTCAGCTCTTTCCAATCGATTTCAAGGCCCCAAACTAAGGATGACATTTAGAACTGGAAAACCGGACCGGAACCGGAATCGGACCGGAACCAGAACCGTTAGAACGGAATATATAGAACCGGTTCCGGTTCCGGGTTTAAAAATTGGCTTTATCCGGGTTCCAGGTAATCCGGGTTTGGGTCCATCGGGTCCGGGTAAACCGAGTCTAAAAAGCGGAACAAGTGTTAGGAACCGGAACCACTTTCAGGGTCGGAACCAGTTTTTGTGAAACGTTTAACATATGCATATCTCATTCGTTTCAACTCCGATTGACATGCAGTTTTTTCCAACATGTAGTTTAGAGTTTGTAAATAATTTTAGACTATAAATTTGCCATTTTTAGTTTTATATTCATTGACTTACAGTCCCCCAAAGTCGAGATATCAAAGCTGAAAGTTTTTAGTTTTTTAGTTTTTTTGTATTTTGTGAAAGTTTTAAAACATGCATATCTAATTCGTTTGAAGTCGGATTGACATGTGGTTTTTTATAACTTGTAGTTTATAGTTTGTACATGAGTTTAGACTATAATTTTTTCATTTTTGGTTTAATATTCAAGTATTTACAGTCCCCCGAAGTAGGGATAAAACTGAAAATTTTCAACTTTTCAGCTATTTGTTTTTGTACTTCGTATTCTGTGAAAATGTTAACACATGCATATCTCATTAGTTTAAAGTCGGATTGACATGAGGGTTTTTCCAGAGTGTAGTTTAGAGTTTGTACATGATTTTAGACTATAATTTTGTCAATTTTGGTTTCATTTTCAATGATTTACATTCCCCCAAAGTAGGGATATCAATATGAAAATTTTCAAAGTTCAACCCACTAGGTAGTAAGTAATTACCAAAAAATTCCGGTTTTTCCGGGTTTTCCGGTTCTAAAACCACTTTATCCGGTTCCAGCTGACCACTTTGATGTTTCCGGGTTTTCTAGTTCTAGACCCACTTTACCCGATACCGTACCCGGAACCGAACCGGAACCGGTTCCTATATACCGGTCCGGTTTCCGGTTCTACAAAATCCTGTTAACCGGTTTCGGGTTTTTCGGGTCCGGGTCCATCCGGTCCGGGTTCGGACCCACTTTCATCCCTACCCTAAACTACAGATCTAGCTTCATGAAACTGAGATACCACGTAAAGTTTCTAACTTTACGTTCATGCAAGGCCTCAAAGGAAGTAAAACACTAAAACTAGCCTTAGAAGGAGGTTTTGGACATGGAGGAGGGCCAAAGCTTCATAAAGCTTGAGGCTTTATGTCCATAAGGGCCTAGAGGAGTCCAGATCTGAAGCCATGCCCTTGTGATAAGCTCAAATCCGAAAGTGACTCCATTTTACACTAGAACGATGTAGATGTTGGATCTACAAGCTCCTTATCGTTCTAAGCTTCTCAACCTTCAAGTTTCTTCAACAAATGCACGAAAAACACACTTTTAGCCTCATACACACTCAAAATAGGGGTTAGATCGATTAGGGTTTGCTTCTGGACGTCAAAAGGTGGTAAGGTGTAACGCCCAGTTCCTTGTACGTATTTAAATAAGAAATTATTCACTTTTGCTAAGGGACTCGACGAGTTGGAGGCCCCAAACTCGTCGAGTAGGAATTTGATGTGTTGGACGCGGAACTTAATGTCTACTCGACGAGTCGAGGAGCCTCGACTAGACAAGTAGGCCTGCCAGAGTGAAACCCTAATTTTTAGGGTTTGCACCCTATTTAAACACCTTAACACCCCCACTATGGCCTCCCTCATTGCCTCCCTTAGTCCAGAAAACCCTAAATCGAAACCCTAACCCATTTTGAGTGTTCTTGAGTCATTTTTGTGTATTTTTGGTGGTTTGAAGCTTGAGAAGGAATAAGAAGCTTGGGAGTTCAAGAGGAAGCAAGTAGATCCAGAGGTTGTGTTCCATTTCCAGCTCTTTTGAGGTATAAAGTCTATACCTTGACTATTCATTTGCTAGATCCCTTCATGGAGTAGTTTAGGGCTTGAAGGAACCATTTTTGGAACCATTCATGGATGCAAGCATGTTTGGGGTTAAGACTTCAGATCTGGAACCTTTGAGGGACTCCATGGCATCAAGGTGCCAACTTATGGCCATGGGAGTCCCATGCACCTTGTGAACCTCATTTTAAGGCCTTTTGAGATAGACAACCCATGCATGAACGTAAAGTTTGTAACTTTACGTGTGATATCGACCCTAGGAGGCCAGATCTATGTTTTGGATGTGTTAATCCTGACTGAAATCGACTGTATAGTTTTGGGATCATGGGGGACTCGACGAGTCGTCCTTAGGACTCGGCGAGTCGGGTCTTGGTTCCCCATCCTTTTTTTACTTAGCAACTTGTTGAGTCTAGAAGATGACTCATTCAGTTAGACGTGTTTTGAACTTAAAGGTCAATAACTCGACGAGTCCAAGGATGAACTCACCGAGTCAGTGATAAAATGTCCCAACTGTATTAAGGAGAACTCGACGAGTCCAAGGAAGGACTCGACGAGTTCAAATAAAAAGTCCCGATTCTGTCATAAGGAGAAACTCGGCGAGTTAAAAGGTAACTCGACGAGTCAGATTGCGAATTCGAGATTCTCTGAATTATGGAACTCGACGAGTTGATGGACCAACTCGGCGAATTGATTCAACCAGGATGTTGACTTTGACCAGAGCATTGACTTTGACCTTGACTTGGCTATTATCCAAGATTGACCCTTAACGGGGTTATGAATATGAAAGAGTAACTAAAAGAGACTGATATGTGTAGGAGGTTGAGGAGAGTTGATCCCAACACCGAGGACAGTTCAGTTACTGCATGATATTGAGGTGAGTTACCTTCCAGTAGAAGTGGGTCTACGGCCACAATGCCGGCCCACTAGTAGGAGTTGTTGTTAGATGATTGTATTTGTGATAATTATCTAGGTTTGCTGCTACCTGATATGTTTTATGTGCTAGCATGATATGATGATATGTGATAGTAGTAGTAGGGGAATAGTCCCCGTGTTACGGTCGTGAGGACCGATGGGTAGGTCAGGCACCCCAAAATTGTTGGGTAGTAGGTTTATGCTATGT